GAGATGGAGACCTGGTATGGCACTGTGGTTAATGTACTGAACTGCAAAGTCATTTGAACCCCAAGGTCGGTAATTCAAACTGACCTTGCAGTCCAGTGCATTAACCCACAGCACCACACCAGTGCTCTATACACACACACACACACAGATAGTCCTGGTGTGGTGCTGTAGGATAAGCACTGGACTGTACAACCATGAGGTTAGCAAATCAAACCTACCAGCCACTTAACAACAACTGCATATTTATATATTGTGCATCCCGCACTGAATGTTGTGATCTTTGATCTGTATCAGTAAATATTTTAAGTACTTTTCACTTTTAGCAAGCAAGATTGTATCGTTTGCATATCACAGGTTGTTAACGAGTCTTCCTCCAATGTAAAGAAAACAAAAATCTTCACCACTGGATCAATAAATAACATCATGATAGATGGAATAAAGATCAAAATTGTCAAAGACTTCATTTTGCTTGCATCCACTATCAACACTCTTGCAAGCAGCAGTCAAGAAATCAAACAATGGACCAGTCCCTGGAGAAGAACATTATGCTTGGTAAAGTGGAGCATCATTGGATAAGAGGAAGACCCCAACAAGATGCATTGGCACAGTGGCAGGGGCAATGGATTCAAGCATAGCAATGATTCTCAGGTTGGCGCAGGACCAGGTATTTTTCATTTTGTTTTGCATAGGGTCATTATGAGCTGGAACAGACTCTATGACATTTAACAGCAAGAAAAACATGATGCCAAGCAGGTTTAAGTGGAACTTCCAGAATAAGACAGACTAGGAAGAAAGATCTGGCGATCTATCTACTCATGAAAATCATCCAATGAAGCCCCTAAGGACCACAAAAGTACAATCTGTAAATGATCATGGGGGTGGAGAAGGACTGGGCAGAGTTTCCTTTCTTTCTGCATGGGATCTCCCTGAGTCAAGGGACAACTCAGTTGTAGCTAACCACAATGAACAAAGCTGGGAGGATTCATTATATTTTCCACGGTGTTATGAATATGTTTTCAGACATGCCATATTTTTTTTTACACAACAGATTAAACACATGTCCATCCCTTTCAAAAAAAAAAAAGAAATCAAACAATGTATTGCTTTAGGCAAATCTGCTGCACAAGACTGTTTTTTTAAATTGTTTAAGATCAAACATGGCAGTTTGAAGACTAAGGTGTGCCTGACCCAAGCATGATATTTTCAATAGTCTCATATACATGTGACAGTTGGACAATAATAGGACGATCAAAGAAGAATTGATGCATTTGAGTTAAGGTGTTAGAGAAGAATGTCAAAAGCCCCATGGACTGCCAGAAGAGCCAACCAAACTGCACTGAGCGAAGTACAGCGAGAATGCTCCTTAGAAGCTAGGATGGCCAGACTTCGCCTCTCATACTTCAGACACATTATCAGAAGGGACAAGTCCCTGGAGAAGGACATCAAGCTTAGTAAAGTGGAGGGATAGTAAAAAAGAGGGAGACCCCCACCGAGATGAATTGGCACAGTGGCAGCAACAATGTGCTCAAGAGTAACAACAATTGTGAGGATGCGGCAAGACCGGGTGGTGTTTTATTCTGTTGTACATAGGGTCACTATGGGTCAGAACCAACTCGACAGCACCTAACATTAACAACACCAATATATATAAGTGCACTGCTTATTGTACTGAATTGTACAATACACAATGCACTGTGAACCACAAGGTCCGTGGCTTGAGCCCACCAGCCGCTCTGCGGAAGAGAGGATTTCTGCTTTCACAACGATGTACAGCCTTAGAAACCTTACATAGGATCTCTACAATTTGAAACTGACTCAGCAGGACTTACAACAGCATATACACATACATATACATATATGGTGGCGGTTGTGGTGTGCTGTGGAGTTGGTTCTGACTCATCGCGACCCTGTATAGGGTTTCCAAGGCTGTAAATATTTATGGGAGCAGAAAGCCTCATCTTTCTCCTGTAGAACAGCTGGTAGTTTCGAATAAGCACTGGACTACTAGCTGCAAACCCACCAGGCCTATTTATGTCAGCTAATTTTTTAACTTGAATGTGCATATTTAGAAATCATTCCTTCTGGTTATTCTGATTTGATCCTTGGTTGTTTGGCTCTAAAAGAAGTGTATTTCCTCATGCACATTAGGTGATTCCATAGCAGGATGCAGAAAGCTCTCAAGTGCCATTCCGGATGACAAATTCCAGCTTGAGACACAACTCATTTTGTTCTAGCACTACAGCTAATTTCTCTTTTGTTGTATTCAAAAGTTCTCCTTCAACTCAGCATTTTACAGAGCATGAGCACTTTGTCTTGGCATTCGAGATTGGTTTTAACACACTATTGATTATTCTCCCCTCACACAATTTCTAAGGTTGATGGTGTAAACCAGTGTGATAAAGATAGTGGGCCCCTTTCTCCCTGGTGTCTAAATCACTTCCCAGTGGCAAGGTCATTGCTG